AAGACATACGGCCCATAAATACAATCTCATTAATGGGAAAATTCAAGTTTTAAATCACAAATTTTAAACCATTTCACTCTACCACATAGGCAGAAATGAAAACGGCACTTTTAAGGCAGGTGATAAGGGGGTATGATAGGAGCCCCCACCCCCAGGGGCTTCCTAGACTGGGATCCCCACCTGTGACCTGGAAAGGTCGACTATGCCTCTTTCCTGAGACCCAGCACTTCCACTCCCAAGTCCACACCTAGACAAACTTTTATACATACGTAAGAATTTCCATAATAGCACTGTTCCTAAAAGGAAGAAAAATTAAAAACAACACAAATATCCCCCAACAGAAGGAAGAAATACATTGTGTTACAGTTATAAAATAGAAAACTATGTAGTGGTCACAGTCATGAAAATGAAGGAGCCACAGCTACATTACAGCAACCGGGTGAGTCTCAAAAGCAATGCCACGTGAGAACAGCAAGTTAAAGAAAAATATATGTGGTAAGACTTCATTCAGAAAAAGTTCAAAAACAGCTAAAATTAAACATTATTATTTGGAAATAAATGCATAGGGTACAAAAAGTAAAGAAATGTAAGGTAATGATTACCTCTGTTTCTGAATTTTCTGTTTATCTGTGAGAGGAAGGAAGGGGATGGTGACTGAGGAGGGACAGGGGTCCTGGCAGGTTCAGGCTGTGATCTGTCTCTTATGCTGGGTATTGGAAAATGGGTGTTTACTATCATTCTCTAAACTTTGCACGAATTTTATCCTGTATGCATTTTGTTTACTATTATATACAATACACAGTAACAATGTTTTAAAAGAAATAAAACACAATATTTAGAAAGTAAAAAAAAACAAAACAAAAAAACAACCAGCAATTGATACAAGCTAGCATTTGTTCACAATAAAGACTTTGGGCTAGCCAGAGTAGAAGGACACTTCTTTAAATGAAGAGTATTAAAGAAGTCTTTATCATATTTAAGGATGAAATTCTATCTTATCCATAGATAAGGATGCCAACTATCATTACTCCTATTCAGCGCTGTCTTAGCCACCCTGCTACATAAGAAAAATAAAGCTATAAAATTTTTAAAAGAGAAGATAACTTTTATGTTATTTGTGGAGGATATAATTGTATAGATAAAAACACCCAAAAGAATCTAAAGAGACAAATCATTATACTTAATAAGAGCAAAATTTTTCTTTTACTAAACAAAAGCCAATAGCATACCTGTACACCTGCAATGACTGTTTAAAACATGTAATTAGAAAAAAACCCATTTACAATAAAAACAACCATGAGGAAAAATTGTAAAACCTTATTCAAATACACAGAGTGAGTGTTCCTGGAGCTAGAAAAGCTCAATGTTGTAATGAGGGCAATTGTCCAGAAATTATAAAGTAAATGCAATTCCAATCAAACTTCTAATAAAATTTTCTTGAGAACCTGACATAAAGATTCTGAAATTCATGTGGAAGAGCAAAAGTCCAAGAATAGTCAAGAGAATTTCTGAAGAACAAGCAGAGAAGGATTGATAACAAGGCTTATTTGGAAGCTGAAGGAGTGCAGTGGAAAACGCAGAGACCAAGAAACAGAATAAGAGCCCAAGACAACCTGCACTCATGGAAACCTGGGTCATGAAAGGCTCCTGTTACAAACCAGTGAAGAAAAGACAAAATATTCAGCAAACTTTGTTGAAAATTAGACATCCTTGTGGGGGAAACTTAAACCTTTCCTTGCAACCTATGCTAATATTAATTCTTGATTGTTAAAGGCAAATTTGAAAAGCACCATGAGATGGTGAGAGTTGGGCACACAGAAAGGAGAGGGCTGTGCTGAGGGCACTTTAACACTGAGTCCCCCAAGACCAATAGGAACCAGCAAGAAAAGAGTGGTGGGGTGGGGAAACCAGGAGGGCCATAAGATGGGACTCAGCTGGGCATGGTGCCTCACGCCTATAATCCCAGCACTCTGGGAGGCTGAAACAGGAGGATCACTTGAGGGCAGGAGTTCAAGACCAGTCTGAGAAATATATTGAGACCCCTGTTTTTACAAAAAAAAATTAAAAATATTAGCTGGGTATGGTGGTCTACTCCTGTAGTCCCAGCTACTCGGGAGGCTGAGGCAGGATTCCTTGAGCCCAGGACTTTGAGGTTGCTGTGAGCTATGATCATGCCATTGCACTCCAGCCTGGGCAACAGAGTGCAACCCTGTCTCTTAAAAAAAAAAAAAAAAATATATATATATATATATATATATATGTATACACACACACACACACACACACACACACACGAAAGTGACACTAGGAGAGAGTGTTACAAACAGGCCAAGAAAGAAAATACACCTGTTAGCAGCACGGGGGTCACTAGTGACTGCGATGAGAAGGATTTTAGCGGAAGGGGATTAACACAGAGTGGGAAGGGGACTGGGAAACAGAAACAGAGATGGTGCCCCATGGAGTGTGTCACAGGAAAGCAGAGGAGTGGGGAAGTGGCTGGAGGGTGTAGGGTTGAGGCAGGATTGTCCGGGTTGCCTGGAAGATGTCAGAAGACAGAACAGGTGGGGATCTAGCGCGGGTGGAAGGGGCTTCTGACTGGAGGACTGACAGTTCAGCAGCCACAGGACCCAGGACAGAGCAGTGGGCACAGGAGAAGGCTGGTGGGCCAGGGAGGGCTATGAGCATAGTGTGCTTCTTTTAATTAAAAACAGTTTTTTTAAAGTATGGAAACCACTCTCAGTTTGTGGGCCACGCAGAAACAGATAGGCTGGGTTTGGCCCTTGGGACAGAGTTTGCCTAATGCTGGGCTAGGGAGGTAGCTGAGGAGCTGCAGTCACCACAGGGCAGAGCCTACTGAAGCCACTGGTCATGAATGTCAGGACACAGTGTGGCTCGTGGGGTTTTCTCCAGCCACACACAGCTGCGCGGGTGCAGCCACAGAACAGGCAGGCAGATTTCACTAGGAGGGATGGCAGGAGTTGAGTGTGAGAGGTGAAGACTTGTTATGCAGTCATGGGGATGGCCATGGGGGAAGGTGGAGGGGGCATAGGACTGTGTGTGGATGTTGCCATCACCAAGAGTGAGGGCAGGAAGAATGGGGGGGGGGAGTCCTCAGAGGTCTGCAGAGGGCAGGAGAAAGAGGGCTGAGACCCACAGGCGGGGTTCCTGGAGCGTAGGGAGTGAGACTGACATGGTGGCAATACCAAGAAACAAGGATACACTCCCCACAGGTCTGGTGGCTTAGAGGACATGGAGAAGAGGAAGGCAGCATGCAGGGAGTTCACTGAAGGGCTCTGTCTGAGCAGGAAGGGGCAGGAACACTTAGGACCTAGCGGGTCGGGTGCTGGGTCCCACCAAGTTCAGTGGAGGGATTTGTAGGAGGTGAAGAGAAGGGGAGCTGGGGTCTGACAAGGGCACGGGCCAAGCCAATGGGGGTGAGGGACAAGCTGTGAGTTGGCTGCTTGGTCCAGAGAGGACAAGGACAAAAGTCACATGGGATTCCTGCTGATGAGCTCAAGGTGGAAAGTGGGTTAGTGAGTGCTGGGGGTGGTGGTGGGGTCTCACCAATGGCCAGTGCATTTCTGAGTGTGAAGGGGTGGAAGCCAGGGAAGCTTCCACACACACATTACAAACAATAAAACCCACTCAGCACAGACCACCACCACGGGTAAGAAGCTGGAAGCCACCCTTTCCATCCAGACAGTGTCTGTTCTCGGTCTCTTTCTATCCTCTGCTTCCAGCCCTGTCCTTAGCACCCAGAAGATTCTCAAAATACATCTGCTGAACCAAGTGCATTAGTGAATGCTGGCAATGTGGTCAGCTCCGCGCATGCTTCTGCCCTTGGTGAAGTGAGAGATCTAACTGAGATCAAACAGCAAACATGGAAGACACATTCAATTCTGAGTAAGTAGGGTCAAAAAAAAGGGAAACCCAAGGCTGGTGACATAGTCAAGGGGGGGTCTTCTGCAGGAATCAGGGGACAAGCCTGGCAGAGACAGTCTCCCTGGTCAAATGACCCAGCAAAGTCCTCACTTCAGGAATTTGGTTTTCCAAGGGTATTGACTGGCCCCAGGAAAACCTGAGACACTGACATCTGGTATCCAGATCACCTGTTAAATAAATCTGTGCTTCTAATCCTATTGAACCCCAAGACTAACTGATGGGTTTACATTCTGCAACTACTAATGGAGTTAACTGAAATTTGGTTCTTAGATGAAGGCAAGGCTGACTCTGCATATCTATGAATTAATTTTGCTTTCAATGCACAGTTGACCCTTGAACAACTTGAGTTTGAACTGTGCCAGTCTACGTATACGTGGATTTTCTTCTGCCTCTGCTACCCCTGAGATGGAAGACCAATCCTCCTGTCCTTCCTCCTCCTCAGCATACTCAATGTGAAGATGACAAGAATGGAGACCTGTATGATGATCCACTTGCACTTAACGATAGCAAATATATTTTCTCTTATGATTTACTTAATATTTTCTTTTCTCTAGCTTAATTTATTGTAAGAATATATGCACAGTACATAATGCATAGATTATACAAAGTAAATGTTAATAGAGTGTTTATGTCATTGGCAAAGCTTCCAGTCAATAGCAGGCTATTAGTAGTTAAGTTTTGGGGGCGTCAAAAGTTATAGTAAACTTCTGCTTGCATGGGGGGCTGGTGCTCCAACCCCTATGCTGTTGAAGAGTCAATAATTTTCCTACCTGCCTTCTCAGTGCCTACCTCTTTCTTCCCCTAATTCTGTGCCACTGGTTCTCTTTCCTAAAAGACTAGGTTGACTCTCTCCTTCCCTGATGGAGAATATCCGTTTCTAGAATATTAGCTGAATAGGTTAGATAGGTTATAACTCAACTATAAAAAATGTAGACTTAAAACATGTTAAGGTTGATATTTCTCCTTGGCTGTTTCTGGAAAGATCATACCTTCCCTGGCCCTTACTTTTCTGTTTCCAGCTGATCACCTGCCATCTCCCAGGACTTCTAGTCCCTCACCTGGACTTGGGTCCACAGGAACATCTGGGATCTTGGGGCCAGTGCGACGCCAGCTGCATGGCTCCTTGCCTTGCTCAATCTGGGAGAGGACCTCGGGCTTGGAGATGGCATAGTCTGAGGAAAGACAGAAAGGTTGGCTTTTGCCATGCCCGTCAGAGTGGGAACAGTCAGCCTGGAAAACCAAGAGTGGTCTAGGAACTGGATTTCTCAATTGATACAGAGCAGTGGCTCTCAACCAGTCAACTTTGCTCTACATGGGACATTTGGCAAATTCTGGAGACAATTTTGATTGTTGTGACTATGGGTAGAGGAAAGGCACTACTGGCACCTGATGGGTCGCTCCCAGGGACACTGCTGAGCATCCTACAACACAGGATAGCCCCTACGACAAAGAGTCATCTGGTCCAAAAGGTCAGTGCTGGGGTTAAGAAACTGGGATAGAGGTCCACAGCATGAAGCAGCTCAGTTCCCACATTAGAACCTAACAGGAGTGTGCACCTGCTCCCGTCCTCATTAAACATGCCTTATTACCCTCAGCTCTGGAGTCACACAAACACCATCAGGAAGAAGAAACCAGCCCAGGAAGAAACAGAGTCCAGGCCCCTCCTGGGAAGTACAGATGAGAAGAGAGAGCAGCAGTAGCCCCAGGGTCTGGGGGAAGCAAAACTTTGGGGCATGAAGAAAATGTTTGCTGCAAGCACAGTCTGCCTGCGTTCTCCCCTGACCCCAAGGCATGCCACTGTGAAGGCTACACATCTCTGCAAGAGAAGGCTGAAAGAAAGTCTTTCTCAAATGTGGGGTTGATCATTTACTGGGTATGGGAGTAGTAGGAGCCTTCTCCACTCCAAATCTCAGCAAGAACAGAAAGGCCCATACTCAGGCCTAGTTAGGAGAGGGGCACTCCATGACCCTCAAAGCCCAGGGAGGAGGGAGCTTCAGACTTCACTGCCCAGGACCCATCTTTTGCAGGAGGAAAAGATAATTCCTTCCAAGGTCAACATTTCTTGTGATTTATACATCACTCAGATCAAAACAACCCTGAACAGAAAGAGGTTTGAGGGCTTACAAATTCCCATTTAACAGAGAAACAAGTGCCAGGCCTTACCTAGGGAGACCAGCGTCTCATAGTTGCCCCTCATCACGTGCTTGTAGAGCTCCTTCTGCCAATCCTCCAGCTTGCCCCACTCCTGCTCGGAGAAATACACGGCCACGTCATCAAAGGTCACGGGCACCTAGAACCACAAGTGTTGCACGCGCTCACCCACATGCTCACAGGTCCAGCCTTTGGGGTTCCCCCAGCGCAGGGTGTCCCAGGACTACCTTGGGGGCCTCCCCCTTGTTGCCTGGGGGCAGCCGCAGGATCCAGAAGTTCCTGTTGCGCAGTAGGTTCTCCACGTTCTCCAGCCGCCTCTGCAGCAGCCCGTACTCCTGCAGCAGGGTCCCCAGCACGGCCCACTTGCCCTCCAGCTGGTTGCCAAACTCCACAGCCGTCTTCTCGCAGTCAGCCAGCTTCTTTTCAGCCATCCCGGTTCGACCTTCTAGGGAAAGCAAGCGGGCAGCCTGCGATTCAATCTTCCTTTCCATGGCCTGAATTGTAGCTGCCATTGTCCACGGAGAAATCTTTCAGAATAAGAGAGAGAAACTCACATCATTTATTCCACCCAATGTATTCCTTGAGCCTATCTCCCCTAGGCATAGGGGAGCTGGGCTGGGAGTGGGGAACCCTGTATGTGGACAGTGGGATTATCCTGTTACCATAGGCCAGAGCTCAATGTGGCAACCACCTCCTCAGGGTATCTTAGACCTGGCCTCTCCTCCAGGCCTCTGCAGTGTGCTGTGCAGATGACCATCATGGCTGCCCACCCAGTACAGTAACTGCCTGCATGCGTGCCCCCACACTGTGGGCTCCTGAAGGTGGTATTGCATGTTTTCACAGCATAGTGCTTGACACATAGCAGGCGCTCAGTGCAATGTGGCTACATAACAGTGACTGAGCATTGCTGGGGCATTTTAGTGGAGAAATGGTAAACTGCAGATTTACTAGAGCTTAGCCTGCACCTCCCAACACGATTACACAGGAACTGTCTACTGGTGATGACCTAGCAAAAAAAACAGCTGGTTCACTGAAACAGCACAAACAAGGGTATTGCTCAATTTCTTTTTTTTATAAAGCATCTCATGTCCCCTTTTAATAAGCATAAAAATCTAATGGCCAATTCTCCTTCACCCTGGACAATCTGACTTTATCCCTTCCCCAACTGCCCCTCCCCCACAAACTAAAACCACCATCACTGCAAATCCCCACTAGATAAGAGTTAGATTTTTTGACACAGCCAAAGCCCTCTAAGATTCTGATCTCCTCTCTCTCCCAATTTTCACTCCTCCCAAGGTAAAAATGATATTCCCAGACATTTTTGTAGCTGCACCAGGATCAGTGACACACCATTTTTATCTCTGTGAAACACTAGAAGAGTCAAAGTTGTCTTGGGCCACACAGTAAATACAGAAACACTAATTGATTAGCGAGGAAAAGGTCTGTGCATACTTTTTGTGACATCGACACCACAGAATAAAAAGCATAAAAAGTCCTCAGAAAATCAGCATGTGGTTCATGGCTACAGGTTGGACACCCCTGACCTAAAGTCTGCTGAGGAAGACAGCCACATGCCACAAAGTAACACTTTTATACACCCAGCAGGAAGCTTAAGTGGTGCTGCCTTGTCACTGGAAATATTCCCACAGTGTCTTGAGTCACCAGCAGTTGGGGACAACGAAGAAAAGGCATGTTTTGTTTTGGGTGGGGAGCTAGGCTGTTTAACCCACCCCATCTACAGGGACTTACGGGGCACAGAAGAGGTCCTGGGATTGGTGCCTTCTAGTCACTGACTGAGGATCAATCCTTATAACATTCTGGAAAATCATTGTCAAACAAAAGCTTCCTGACTATTTGTAAAGCAAGGAAGTGACTATTAGGATTGAGTAAGGACTCATGCAGAGAAAGTCACTGAAAACTAGAATATGGAAGGATACCTCAAAACATTGAGACAAAAAAAGAGCATAACTGTGCAGGATGGCACTTAGGAGGTTCTTTGCTTGTCTGGAGGGAAGCTGGACCTGAAAAGGGAAGGACTTTCATGGGTCTCAAGGGATGGAAATTCTGGATGGGCAGAGACTAGTTTCAAGGAGAAACTCTAGACTGTAGGGCAGGGGTGTGAGCCTTGCTCTGGAGCAGTGGATGATCTGGGCTGGCTCCCTTGGTTGACTGGCTCTGGGCTCTGTGAGGCCACTCTTCGGTCCCTCAGCTCTACACTCTCAGAACAATCCCTATCACATGGTCCAGACTCCAAGAGCTTACTCTAGAAAGGTCCTTTCACATCAACACCCAGCTCCCCAGCCACTGAAATCCTACTCATCTTCCAAGTGCAGCATTACGATCTTTCTGTTGCATATAAAGGTATCTGTACACGCTCTCACTTTATTAAGAAAACGTTACTGTTAAATATTTGAACAAGAGGTCACCCTTTTCCTACCATTTTGATGTGTCCAACAAGCCCTGCTAAGGCCTTCACGGCTGTTTGGTTGGAGGTGGTGGCTGTGCTCTGCTCAGTCAAATCCAGCTCCTTACTATCTGGTGGCTGGATAATACACGGGGCTGTCCCCCAAACTCTGCTTGAGAGGAGCTGATGGTAAGAGGAGCCATTTCCTAAGGGCTGGCCACCCATCAAACTCCTTCTAACTCTCTCTGTAGCTCCTACCAAAACCATCCTTCCCAGGCCCATGGACTTCTCTCTGTTCCTGAACACGCGCCACACAGTTCTCTCTCTGTGCCTTTGCCCAAAGTGCCCCGCCCTCCCTGAAAAGCACTGCGGGCCTAGCTCCCGGCTGAAATCCTAGCCTACCTTACGAGCTGGGCTCCAATCACAGAAGCACAGAGTCTCCGGTCAGGAGGGGTGGGCAGAGGTCCCCTGCCCTGCGGCCAGGCCAGTGCTGGCCGCTTTCTGTTTTACACGATTACCCATGTACCTTGTCTGCCAGGTCCTTGAACACACAGATCAACAGTCTTTTCACACTTTCCAGCTGTGTGATCCTGGGCAAGTTAACTTCTCTAGGCCCCAGGGTTTTCTATAATGTGACATACAATAATAGTATCTACCGCACAGGTTCGTTGTGACGACAAAATAATGTCTAAACGGGCTTGGTGCAGTGCCTGGCTCTACACGCGGCAGCAGCTCCCTCCGCGCCACCCGAGCGAGCTGGGCACGTAGTGGGCGCTCAGTGTATGCGGAATTGAAGCCGGACATCTCCCAGGTGCCACCAGGCCGCTGGGGGGAGCAGGGGGGAGGGCACGTACGGGTGGAGCGCTAGGCAGAGAAAGGAGCCGCGGAGGGGGACGCGGAGATGCAGGGGACAGCGGCTGGGGCAGGGGCAGGAAGCCCTGCAGGGCTGCAGGAACTTGGAGCGGGGCGGCCCCCGGCGCGGGGACAACCGTTCCGCCGCTGCTCAGGCTCGGCCCGGGGCGAGGGGCCCGGCCGGCGGGCGCCGTAGGCCCGGGCGGACCCCGCGCTCCGTTTGCCGTCGCCCCAGGCCGAGTGGGTCAGGCCCGGCCCCCGGAGCCCCTCCCCAGGGCCTGCGGCGCCGTGTGCGGGGCCCTGCCGCCCGTGGCCCCAAAGCTGCGCGTCCGTGCGCGTCCGTGCTGCCCTTACCGGAG